AATATATTAATAAATTAACACAAATCAATAAAATACAATCAAAATCTTATATACTATACTGTATACTTACATTTAGCATTTTCAATTGTTCTAAACTATAATCCTCAGCAATTATTGAAAGAATTCCTCGTTTACTATTAACTCCTTTCTTATTATTATCAATTGCTTTAGCGATAGTTGTAGCCAGTTTTTTTGTTTGCTAACATAAATTTGAGACGTATAATTCAGATTTTTGTAAGTCAAATTTACATATAATAATCCTTTTTTATGTAACATTTGCATTGTTTCTAAATCTTTTTTCCAATTTTCTGCTCTTGTCCAAAATTCACACTATATAATAAAAATATAAAATAAATTAGAAAACAAAATATTATAATTTTTTTTATTAAAAAAAATTATGAATTGTTATTAAACTATACATTACCAATTGGTCATCAAGTGGATAAGGTATTACATTAAAACATCCTGCTGCTTTTAATAAAGCATGCCAAGTATGAAGTTTTCATAGTTTAAATGCATAATCAGATATATAAATACTTTTTAGAGCTGATTTAATTCAATAATATTACTTATTTGTTTATTCCAATCAGAAAAAACTTTATATCACTGAATATTTATATGTGTATGATGTTTAAGAAAATGTAAATACAATGGTTCCAAATTAGATTCTTCTATCCAATCTTTAGGTTGACATGCTAGATGAAATTTTTTTTTTATAATTTGTTGAGTTCTTGGATTCATTAATCCAAAAAGATTTTTTCCATCAAACATAGGAAATAAGCCAATTTTATTCCAAATATCAATAGGAGTTTTTCCTTTGAATACTTCTTTCTCATAAAATTCTTTAAATACTCGAATAATACAAAAACTTTCAGTTATTTTTTGTTCATAAAAAATCTTTCTTTTTCCCTTGATGCTAAGTGATGACATAAATCCACAACCTGCACTTTCATAACCATCCTGACTTGAACTTTCAATATTATATACAAAAATTTGAAATTGTCAAAATAAATAAAAAAAGGCCAAAAATTAACACCCTCCAAAAGATGTTCAAGAATAATTGATTGATTATTTAATCCAAACTCACATGGTCCAGAAAATTTTGTTTTTGTTGAAAAGATTTGTTGGTACAAGTTTGTTAATGCAGCACTTATTATTTCTTCAATGTCATTTGATTTGCCATTTGCTTGACAAAGATATCCAGGTAAACAAGCATTATTTTTGTTACCTTCAATAATTTTCAAGTAAAATTGAACATCATTTAATTCAATAATAATGCTTAAACTAACACGTATTGGATAAAGTTCGTTAATATTATTAGCATTAGTACTAATTAACTACTACTTATAAAAAAATGCATCATAGTAAAGTTGAGATACTATAGACCCAATAGAAATGAGTCTAGGAGAAACTCGTTTATGTTTTATCATAAAGTAATTAGTCAAGCTAATATGAAAAAGAACCAGATTGAGAAAAAAACTTTTTTACTATTACTCTATAACCTCGCATTTTTATAATTAATGTCAATTATCATGTGTACTTGTATCACAAATCGTCAATTAATAGTTTTAATGCAAACTTTCAGTTATAATTAAGCTTCAAATTTTTTGGTCCTAATATATAATGTAAATTAAGTAAACTTATTTATAATATTAAAAAAAGTTCATCATTAAAATTTCAAGTCGATTAAATTTATGCTTGATGCAAACTTATTCAAAATGTATATTTATTTTATAAAAAAATTTTTTTTTATTAATTCTGTATAGAAATTAGGATTGTAGCTAAAAATCACTGAAATTTTTGAAAATTTTATTATTTATAGAATATTTTTATAGGGAACAGCCTGAATTAATACAATATTTATTAAAGAATAATTATATTAAGAACTAATTTATTGAGATATTAACTGAGAAAGCATAATTTTATAGTAAATTATTATATATATTATTGAAAAATAATTATTTAAAATTTTTGTATAAAATTTATGTGAAATATAAAATTATAAATTTTTATTTAAATTAAATATAATACATTATATATAAATTTAACATTTCTGAAAAATTCATAAGTATTTATTTTTGATACAATAAAAATGTTTATTTAAATAAATTAGCATATTAAAACTAAAAAATTTAAAGCTTAATTATAATTGAATATTTGTATTAAAACTACTAAATTTTTAGATAAGTTTTAAAATATTTAATTAAATATAAGTTAGATCTATATAAAAAAATATTGGAATAAATGTTATTCATTATGATACATAACTTTACTTAAAATATCAAAGTTAAATTAATAATAAGAAAACTTTTTTTTTAGAGCTGATATTTGCTAATTAGTCACATGACTTTCAAGGTATTAGATACTTTAGTCACCTATTGTAGGTTTAAAGAATAATAAGATTCCTCTTCTATTTCTAATAAAGTTATTATTAAAGAAACTTTTATTATCAAAAATATTATTTTTAAAAGTTACAAACTTATTTTGCATCTTAAAATTTTAAATAAAGATAAATATATTCTTATTAATAAAAAAATATAAGAATTTTGACGATCTTGGGTGGTCGAATACTTATGACTGCTACTGTATATGTTGAAAATTCACATTTGTGATAACATTTTAATTTAATTAAGTACTAGTATAATTTATAATTACCAAAAGAATAAGCATTTTGATAATATTATTAAGAGCTGTTTTATTTTTAAAATAAAAAATAGTAAAAGATCTAGGTTTGTAATTAATTGATTTAAAAATATAATAAAATTTTATTTTTATATAAGAATAATATTTGCATATTATGTACAGATATATTATAAAGAGATTCATAAGCTTAATTCTGAAATAAATACAAATTTAACCTATTCTAAAGTAAGAGAAGTTAGATAAACTTTTATTAAAAAGATATTATAATCACTGTATATTAAATAATTTAATATTTTAGAATAACTCTATGAAATATAAATGTATTATCAAAAACCTTATATTTATAGTCTAATATTAACTATTTTTTATATTTAAAAGACATTAAAAAGGATGTTTTTATTAATGTAAAGATAAATGCATATTCTTCTTGTAGATCATATATTCAGTAAATTGCTTAATTCTTAAATCAAAGAATTTTATAATCAATACTGATTTTATAGATTCTTAATTATTAAAGTAGATGATCACTAATCTGATTAAATTATTGTGATAAATATTTATTTCTTTGAATACATTTTACTATACAAAGATATTGTTAACAATTTTAATAATATTATTAGTAAAAAATTTTTTGTTAATTTTTGAATAACCATAATATAAGTAAAGAATATTAGATAAGTAATTATGATAAAATTACAGTTATTAGTTTCTAAGTTGTTTTTCTTATTAATAAGAATATATTTATCTTTATTTAAAATTTTAAAATGCTGAATAAGTTTGTAACTTTTAAAAATAATATTTTTGATAATAAAAATTTCTTTAATAATAACTTTATTAAAAATAGAAGAGGAATCTTATTATTCTTTAAACTTATAATAGGTAACTAAAATATCTGATACCTTGAAAGTCATGTGACTGATTAGCAAATATCAGCTCTAAAAAAAAAGTTTTCTTATTAATTAATTTAACTTTGATATTTTAAGTAAAGTTATGCATCATAATGAATAACATTTATCCAATATTTTTTTATATAATTAAGCTTTAAATTTTTTGGTTTTAATATGCTAATTTATTTAAATAAATATTTTTATTGTATCAAAAATAAATACTTGTGAATTTTTCAAAAATATTAAATTTATATATAATGTATTATATTTAATTTAAATAAAAATTTATAATTTTATATTTCACATAAATTTCATACAAAAATTTTAAATAATTATTTTTCAATAACATATATAATAATTTACTATAAAATTATGTTTTCTCAGTTAATATTTCAATAAATTAGTTCTTAATATAATTATTCTTTAATAAATATTGTATTAATTCAGGTTGTTCTCTATTAAAATATTCTATAAGTAATAAAATTTTCAAAAATTTCAGTGATTTTTAGCTACAATCCTAATTTCTATATAGAATTAATAAAAAAAAATTTTTTTATAAAATAAATATACATTTTGAATAAGTTTGCATCAAGCATAAATTTAATCGACTTGAAATTTTAATGATGAACTTTTTTTAATATTATAAATAAGTTTACTTAATTCACATTATACATTAGAATTAAAAAATTTGAAGCTTAATTATAACTGAAAGTTTGCATTAAAACTATTAAATTTTTGAATAAATTCTAAAATATTTAACTAAATATAAGTCAGATCTATATTAAAAATATTGAAATAAATGTTATTTATTATGATGCATAACTTTATTTAAAATACTAAAATTAAATTAATTAATAAGAAAAAAATTTTTTCTTAGAGCTGATATTTGCTGATCAGTTACATGACTTTCAAGGTGTCAGATACTTTTAATCATCTACTCTAGAGGTGATAGAGACAAGTTAACTATTATAAAAATCAAAATGATTATTATTATTATTTTTCTTAGTGGTTTGTTTATTTTTTTTAAATAATTTTTGTATTAAAAATTTATTAAAAAATTTTTTAGATAATAAAAATATATAAAACTATGAATTATCTAACAAAACTGTTTTATTTTCTAAATAAATTTTTCGTTCTCAAAAAAATTTAGAAGAAGGGAAAAAGAGTTTCTTATAAAAAATTGGTCTAACTAATTTTATATAATAAAATGTTAATTTTACTGTGTTATTAATATTACTCTATCTATCGAATAAGTTAATCATAATTTGAAATCAAAAAGATAATAGCTATAGTTCTAGAAATCTATACTCAAAATCACGTGACTTTGTTTCAAATTTTCTGCGAAAATCTCAAGTTACGTGAATCAAAATCGACCAATAAAAATCAAGAATATTTGTATAATAAGTAATGATCTGAATTTTAAGATGATCAATTGATAATGTTAAACTTTACCTGTACTAATATTTAAGCCAACTTCTATTAAACATGTAAAAAGAAGCAATGTTATAAGCTAAGTATTTTATTTACTATATTGTTTTTAATGATTTTTACATTTGTGACTAATTATATAACTAACTACAATATATTTATTCCATTAATTTTTTAATGCTCTCTAATAAATGACAGTGCGATTTATATTTGTTAACCGCCTACTTGGCAGCCCTACCCTCCAATCTCTTGTCATATACGTCTATGTACCTTCACGACTTGCATGCAAACTTACGAATTGTTTTTATAAGAACGCTAATAAGAACTTCCAGAACTTGTTTCAACAATTCTGTAAAACTATAACTGCATAACCGTCTGGTCTCTCATTTTGCAAAACCCCAATATCGCTCTATAAAATTGCATTCGCAATGAAATTTTGGATATCGTTCGAAGATATGTCCTGCTTTAATTACCGTTTCTTCCAATATCGATCATTATTCACAAAAATCGATTTGTAATTACATTATTTTACGCACACAACAGTCTGATCTTTCTAGTTCAATATTATCTTATTTTTTAGGGTACTGCTCACATGTCAAACGAATCCTTTTGTTGGCCAAAGATTACGTTCTTTGAATGCTTGTTTATACCCTTTGGTTGTCCTTTCAATTTATGATTATCTGAAAATACTATTGATTGAACACGTCTTTCATCATATTCATTAATATACTAACTACACGCATTTTAGACTGCGCTCCTCTGGAATTTAAGTTCATTTTTGTTGCGATAAGAGCATTATTTGCTATAGCATTATGGTTTGTTGACTGATCAAAGTAAAAAACTCCAATACATTTAGAATGCAATACCTCAATATCAGAATTGCCTGATAAACAAGCTTTATTTATAAGTAAAAAGGAAAATTAGTAAACTTTTTTCTTTAAAAAAATAATGAATAATAAGAAAAGTACAAACCTGATTTAACATATGCTCTGATTTCTAATATCTATCTGTTTGTATAGAATAAAGAACAAAAGATTCTTTATTTTTGATATGCGGATTTGCTTGTAATTGTTTATCAGATAATTATAATAATCTATGATATTGATAAAGAAAGGCCGAAACTATGATAAAGCGTTCAATGTGTTTTGAGCGCAGAATATCCTTATCTTTGTTTATTTAAATCTTTTGTTACCTATCATTCGTGTAAAAATGGCATTTTTTATATGTTATTTGTACCAATTCCTTCTCTTCTGCCTTAAGCTGAGGTTCTAAAACAATGTCTAACATGTCACCATCAAATTCTTTCATAGATTTCTTATATTCAAATATCCTCTTTAACCAATCCTTCCTATATATTATCACGTCTGGCCATTTATGCCCATCATAATAAACCCCTTTTTTTTCTCATCATACTTGTATCCCTACAAATACATATAAGTCTGATAGGTTCTTTCAGAAATCGTATCTTTTTT